GAATCCAAATCATAATACTAAAGCTGTATTAAAAAATATGTAAGAGAAAATACAGTTCAACACGCAAAGGAAATAATAGAAATACAATTGCTTGAATGTTGTTCTTATTCAGATAATAGGTACTATAATTTAGTACCTAGTTTATAAGTAACAACTGTTTTTTATTTTGGAATGTATATATATATATATATCTACGACCTTCTTGGCCGAGTGGTTTGTACGCCGGTTTTCATGGTGTCGCCGACTCGAGAGGTCCCCGGTTCGGCAGATGTTTGTGTGATGAATACGAGCATTTTTACTCCAGTCATGGATGTTTAATTTGGATTTCTATATAAATATACTTATATATGTACAGTATATGTCTTCTATCCATTACCCTAGTATCCCATAACACAAGCCTTATTATAGTGCTTAGCTTGGAGCTAGACTAATTGGTGAGGTGTTGGAAATATATATATTTATAGATAGGTCCGACAAATGACTCCGCCCCACCTGATGTAAAGTGACGGTGAAGTCTAGACGTGAAGATAGCTGGTACAGCAGTTCTACCTGCCACACCAGCCATCCTTACCTTGCCGGACTGCATGTTGCTTCTTCACACCTCTTTTAAAGGATGCCAGGTTGCAAGAAGGAGGGAGGGTTGTGAGGGGGCATACAAACGATATATTATATCGTTTGTATGCCCAACTCGACAAAGTGGAAAGCTGTGTATGCCTACTGGAGCTCTATTTTTGATTCGCTCGCCTGAAATAGTACCGTTGAATGTGATTTAAGCATGGTTCCCAACTTAGGGGTTTTGCCCCCAGATTTAGGGGCTAGAAGGGTTAAAACGGACTTTTTTAGGGGCTGGAATTTTTTAAGGGGTTCTTTTAGGGGCTTTTAACAAAACTTGAAATTAAATCGAAAAACAAAGCGTGTGTTTTCTTTCAGGTTTGTGCGTAGAATGGAACGCACCACGATATGAAACGACTGAATTCACTGTGTGGTAGGTTGTTTCCTAAGGCTGTATGGACTAAAGTTTTTGCCTTCCACCAATCAAAACAGCTAAATAGGATTTTACAGCCTGTCAGCTCATTTTCGTTTGATTTTCCATTCGGAAAATGTATTTATTCAATAAAATAATTTACTGTAACTAAATACGTAATTTATGAGCAACAAAAGAATTTAGGTAATTAGATAAGTAGGTACATATAAATTTCTATATTTAGGGGATTTTAGGGGAATTTAAAAAAACCCAGGGGAAAAATTTTGGTAAGGGTTGGTAACACTGGATTTAAGCCACTTTCGACTTCCAAGTCGCATGATACTGATTTTCCGTATTTTTGAATAGTTCATCTACAGTGTTACCAGTTTAATACAAAATATTTATTTTTATTAATTTCACGGAAAAAGATAAAAAGCAGTTATTACGTCTGTGAAAAATAATCATATAATTCTCAATAGAGTCTATGCGGAAAGAGAATGGGATTTAGATTGGATGGCGCTGTAGTGCTTTTCTACCGTATTTGTAAGGTTTTACCCCTTTTAGACATGATTAAATACAAAAAACCGCAAGAAATCACAACAACAAACAAATCCATATCAATACAAAACTTTGACGTTTTACAGATTGCTGGGTTTGATTGCCAAATAAAAATCTTAATGTTAGTACCGTTTTTCGCCACGCCCATTCTCTTTCCGCACAGACTCTAACTGGTTATTTAATCTTATGCCTTTTTATAAGAAAAGATCAAAACATCGCAACAAATCTTCATCTTATCTTTATTTTAAAAAAGATTAAGAATAAATCTTGAAAATATCTGACATATTTCTTAGGTTCTCTCTCAATATGTTTCTTAGGTTTTCACGCACATCACTCATTAAATAAAACTAGTTTTTACTGGTTAATGCACGAAACTTTATTTATTTATTGACGTAAAACTAGTTTTATAAATTAGTCAATTTAAAACACTTTCCCCAACGTGCAACGAGTGGTCGAGACCGACGAGCGATTCAAAAATACGGTATTTATTATGTCGAATCAAAATTAGTATAAATCGAGCGTTCGACGCAAGACGAGTGATTCAAAAATAGAGCTCCTGCTCTCTTGGCCTGCGACGGCCGTGTTGCTCTACGGTCGATGTAGAAGTCTTAGGCCAGTATTATAGAAAGATTCTCAGTGATTGATCTAGTCTTGAGCATAGTTAGAAAGGGATGTCGCTAGCGATGCGCGACTTCGAATAATACCAATACTAATCATTCGACTAAGTCGACTGCGCTTTATATCATTCGACTGGAGTCGAAGGTATCGGGCGGCGCGCATCGTACGTAGCGACATTTGACATTAGTGTTACTAAATTAGTAATCGTTATTCGAATAATGACATTAGTATACTACTGATTTGCATTTCGCATAACCAAATTAGTAGTTTTTTTTTATGTTATAGGGGGCATACGAGCAGGCGGCTCACCTGATGGTAAGTGATCACCGTCGCCCATGGACACTTGCAACACCAGGAGTATCACAAATGCGATGCTGGCCTTTAAGGAAGGAGTACGCTCTTTTTTTGAAGCTTTTTGTGTCGTATCCGTCCGGAAACACTGCTGGCGACAACATATTCCACAGTTTTGTCGTACGAAGTTTTTCGTAGTTACGAATTAGTCGAAATGTAAAATCCTTCGTAGTCGCGCATCGCTAGATGTCGCTCTATATAGCACATAGTGACATCCCTTTCTAACTGTACTCAAGTAAAGATCAACACTTAGTTGTCATTCTGTAATACGGACCTTAGACCATTTAACCCTACTTATTTTATATATGGGAAAGTTTATATGTTTTTCACTCAATCAAGCAAAAACTATTGAACGGATTTGGATTAAAGGAGACCCGGCACTTTTCATAGAAAAAATGCTAAACTTGTATACAGTTGAATTTGGTCTTAAAATAAAGCCAAAATTATTTGCTACATAAAACTACTTTTGTCTTATTTTTAGTGAACCGTGGAAAGAAGTTATATAATGATTAATATTTTTTGATATGGAAACCCTAAATCTTCAAGGGACAGAATTTTACTTCAAAATATTACTCAAGTGACTGTAAAAACCATGGTTCCTTTGCTTTTTTTAAATAAAAAATCCAAATGTCAATTTGACAATCCTAAAATACAAACAAAAAAATCATTCGCATTTCGCATCCGCTCCCGCGAACTGTGATTGTGAATGTTCTCTGCTGTGATTGCCTTTTTATCCGTTATTCCTCTTGACGACCCGGCTACATATAGAGGTTATATTGACAAACCTACGTATTTGACATTGACAGCTAGCTGCTGATGACAAATATTGCCTGACTACGTTACCCAATTTAAAACACAGATAAAAAAATTAAAAAAGTATACAGCTCTGGCACAAAATGCCGGGTGTCCTTTGGTACGCATATAAGTTATGACCTAGATTGAGACGAAGGACATTTATTATCCCGAAAAAATGTAAGCTTCCTTAGTGATTCTCAAAAAAGTAAGTTGACGCGGACAAAGTCGCGAGCGGCCGCTAGTAAGTTCATAAATTGGATTCAGGTATTTGTTAAGCATGATGTCAAGGGTACAAACATCGAAAAATTCACATTATAAAACATTAGTAGATAGCGGCAAAATCTTTACAGACGCGGACAGCTGCTTTATATTGCAATATGTATTTATCGAAATAGATAGCCAAAAACAACAAGATTATACCAAATAAACAATCGTTACTTAATTATTTACCTAATCTAAACTGAAAATATATCTTTCCATATCTGATAAAATAATGAAAGTCCATTATCAAAATTTTTGTCTACAGCAAAAAAATTACACATGTCTGAACAATATATTATAGCAACTATACAATAAATAAATAAATATTTCCAACACACACACCAATTAGCCTAGCCCCAAAGTAAGCACTATAAGGCTTGTGTTATGGGATACTAGGCTAACGAATAGAATACATATATATTTATATAGAAATACATATTAAACATCCATGACTGGAGTACAAATGCACTTATTCATCACACAAACATCTGCCCTCACCGGCATTCGAACCTGGGACCTCTCGAGTCGGCGACACCATGAAACCCGGCGTACAAACCACTCGGCCATGGAGGTCGTCAATAATAAATAAATATTCTTTGATTAACAGGGTCAAAATTTAAATCATAATAGAACTACATTTAAAGTAAATTTTCGACAATTTGGTCTATAGAACAAATGAGTGTTCATTTGTTTGTTGTGGCGAAGAGTTTCGACCCACGAAAATTCGACACGGCATCAGGGCCACGGTAGCATACCTTATCCCGTCTGTGGCCTGGTCCGCGTGGATTTTTTCCAGTAAAATTTTCTTTAGATTTAAACATCTGAACTTTAGTTTGGTAACTGGAAAGTGTTTCAACACATTACTAATAATAAATCCAAGTTTATGTTTTTTTATTTATTTTTAAGCATTTAACTGCTAGATGTTTAAATGTAATGAAAAGTTTACTAGAAATGAAAAAAAACATAACTATAATTGCTATTTCTTCTTTCAAATGTTTAATACTTGAAAAAGTATTCATTTGACATTGTGGGTTACCTACAATGCGAAGAGATGGCGCTGCCTTGCAGCTTAAGGCTAGGAAAATTTCGACGTGGCGAATAGGGCCGTGGTAGCATAATGGTCAGTGCATTCGCCCGGATTGCGAAGGGTGCGGGTTCGAGTCCCGTCCAGTAGTAGCAGTATGCGTAAAATGCATTACGCATACTGCTAGTATACAGAGACCGCTGGACGTGACAAGGTTAAATTAATTATTTTTTCGTGTTAATCTCATTCAGAAAATAAGGTTTCCATATCTCTCATTTTATGAATTGTCTAGCAAAATTTGAAATGGAAAAAGGGGATACTTACATTTTTTTTAAGTCTTTCTCACCTCGACATTACCACCACTTAAGATCCGGTGGGGTAGTCTTTTGCTTAGCAAGCTATGTAAAATATTTTTTACCCATATTTCAGAACGCGATTTCCCTGATGACGAAGGCGATGAGCCTTACCTCGTGCCGGCCATCCCAGAGGACACTCCACACGTTCCTTACAAGCCCCTCAAGAGGGCTGATGATGAGGTCCTGCAGAGGTCCAGGGACTACTACCAGCTGATGGCCAACAGGAGGACTGTCAGATTCTTCAGCCCAGAACCTATACCGGAGGGAGTTTTGGAGAACCTCGTCAAAACTGCAGGTTAGGAAAAATAAACTTTTTAAGCAGCTCAAGAGCTAACCACACGTTCTGGTCATCATCATCGGCCTATCAATGTCCCTACTGCTGGGGCACAGGCCTTCCCTATGGATGGAATAGGGAGATTGGGCCATGACCACCACGCGAGCCCAGTGCGGATTGGTGGGTGCTAACGACTGCAGATGCAGCCGGGACCAACGGCTTAACGTGCCTTCCGAAGCACGGAGGTGCTCGAGATAGTAAATTCACCCATCCAATGACCGAACACTGCGAAAGTTGCTTAACTTCAACGATCGCAGCCGAACGCGCTAACCACTTACGCTGTCAAGCTCCTCAGATCTCCTCTGATCTGGTCATATACCCTTAAATAGCTTTGTATATTTCATGAGAGAAGTGAATTCTTCAAAATTTATTGAGCATGATTGGGTCCAAGATGCCTGGCATGTGATGGCAGAAGGTACGAGGGTTGTAGCGGTAAGATACCAATTTTTAACCAACTCTTGGAGTTAACAGTAATAGATGTCGGTTTATAAAACAGCATATTAACTAGGTCCCTTTCTAAAAGCTTGTATGAAATTGTATCAATCTGTTTAAGAAGACGATAGAATGTTAGAAAGATAAGGGTGGTGACTTGGTCTAGAAAAGACAAAACCCTTTTCAATAAAGAATAGAAAAGAGCAAACCACATTGGGAATCCGATCGTGACAGTTAAACAACTTATACAATATGGTAGTTGATCAAAAATGTATTGTCTCGATCTTCTCCATGCTTTGTAAGGCAAATTCAGCTGTTGGTCGCGTCTACATCTGCAATCGTTAGCAGTCACTCATCGTAGGTCATTGCCTTATTCTTTTATGCTCTTGCCATCTGAACTACTGCAAGAATCAAGATTGGTATTCGTTTTTAATATGAGCGTGACATGGAATTACGCTTAAGGGTTCCTATTATTAAAAATAAACACTTTTTAAGATCCTCTCTCTATCTCCCTAATCCATCCATAGGGAAGGCCTGTACCCCAGCAGTGGGGACATTAAAGGCTGATGATGATGATGATGATGATGATGATGATGATGATGATGATGATGATGATGATGATGATGGTGATGATGATGATGATGAAGATATTAGAAACAGCTACGAAATAAATACCTTACGGGACGTGGAAAACGGTCTGCTGCCCAGACCCGTGGATGACTTGTTGTCCACTGCACCGTTAACTTCGTAATAAAATCCACAGGCGTTTGCCAATACCATAAGTAGACTCCACAATCAAGTTGTTAAGCAAATGGCTTTTATTTTTTAAATGTGTATCAAAGCTTTGTCAAATCATGAAAACCCTTTAACGGATTCCTTATCAAGCGCTTACAAAACTTAAGGTCCATTAATTCCCTGTTATGTGTACAGAATAATGTTAGGAACATTATTCTGTTCCATTTATACATATAAAGATTTTTGATTTGAGTGAACCTTGTCGGTATTTTGCTTCCAATATTTCAAAAGGTATCATCATGCTTTAATAAAATTGTCTTAATGATAAATACTATAAAATTATTTCAGCTACTCAGTTTAAATTTAGCATACGGGTCATTTTTTATCTTAACGTTGGATCTAGGAAATGCTATTTTAATGAGGCATGTGTTCTGTTATTCTGTTTATACTATCATAAATATGAAATAATAACTGCAGATACATTTGAAATGATGGCTGCCGTATGATGACCTTATATTGCTAGATAACCGAAGTAGAGATAATTGTTACATCCGCGTCACGAAATTGGTACAATTGTGTTTTTAAACGATGATTCGATTTGTATCAAGCATTTAACTTTATTTAACGAGAGCAGTACTAAAACATTTTTTTTATCATAAATGAAATTTCTTTTTATTACAGAATCTACTTAAACAGCACTCTTTATATTCCTACTAAAATATGCACATAGATCCTGGTCCCTTACGTCACTGAAATTACCACGCTCAACAATATCCATTTTCCGATGCCAGCTGTTTCTCATAACATAGCCCTTCGGGAATAAACTATGCTTAATCAACTTGAAGAATTTCTTCAAAAAGTCCAATTTCTGTGTTACGTCACATTTAGTCCCTGGATTTTGCAAACCACATTTGCCTATATGGAACACCCTAGGACCAGCAATAGAAAACATGTACATTTTTCCATCAGGCAGATGTCTACTCAAATACCTCATTGAAGACGTCCAACTGTAATCATTGAAATGGCAAAATTTATTTCCATGCATCCAAATCATATTCCACGTGGATCTGTTGAAAGCTATGCCCATATTGTATGGAGTAGTGCCAAATTCTTCTATAGTCATTACGTTTTCGGTCGGATGGTAATTATAAAGTTGCGGACGCTCAGCACCCACACTTAACATAGAACATTCGGGACACTCATAGGCCATAATACCTTCTAGAAACTTTGCTGTATGAATAAGGTCTTCAGTGAAATACTGATCATCTTCTAGAAACATCACTAATCCTCTGTAATTCTCTAAAACTGCTATATTGTTAAACACGTAATTAATTTTGAACCACCAATGTAGTTTTACTTGTGCCAATGTGGCATTTCTTAAGCCTTTTGCAGATACACATTTCCAATCTTTTGAACAGTACTTTGAGTCTTCGCCAGGGTACGTCCCTGGGTGCATTTGTTTATTGTAAGGATAGAATATCTGCATAGAAGAAGTGAAATCTATACTTCGTATCATCTCATTAATATCTTCGTCATAATAATCATGAGAGAATACAATGAAAGCTCTCGTTATTCCACGTACAGTCATCAATGAATTTATAACTTCTGCCAAGTATTCGATTCGGTTGTGAACTTGTATAACAATAACAATTGTTATTTGGTCAACAGAAACGAATGTTGGATTGTAAACTTGCATGTCCGAATTCAATTTTTTTATTTTTATTCTTATGTTTTCTATGTCACTTAAAGTTTTTTTGAGAGCCATAAATCTTAAATCACTGTTAAGGTAAATGTAATCAGTTTCGTTATTATATACATCATAATTTTTTATTATTTTTATTCTTTGCAATTTGTTGTAAGACACCAATAAATAAATGTGTACGATTAGATAACCTATCACAATGAATATTGAAATAAATAGTATTTTCTTGTAGTAATTTATAATTAAAATTTTATAATAACAAGATGTATTGAAAAACTTTTGTAAATAAAATATGAGTAATCTAAAACTATTAAAAAAAATATTCCATCGATTCATTGGAGTATTAACGGACCATGTATTGACAACTTTGATAGAATTTTGTCATAGTGATGTCAAAGATTTAATTTTAATATATTCTCTTTGGCGCATTTTAACCAAGATCCTAAATTATTAAGGCTTCCCCACATAGGCGCGTTGTTATTGGTCGACAATACTGGATGCGTTATTGCGATAACGCGTCCCGATTCCTTGTACACAACTGAGTTTTTATCGCCCAATAATTCACCTATATACAGTACCCTTAGCACGAACAAATATCAAATTCGAATCGTTTACGAGTCCGAAATGTCATTGTCAAATGTGCACTGATTTATAGTTCTCGTTAAGTACTTTGTGGCGCTGCTGTTCAAGTTTCCATACAAAATTTGACATTGACATTTCAGACTCGCTAACTATTCGAATTCGATAATGGTTCGTGCTAGGGGTACTGGGCCGTATGCGGCTTATGCCCGATTATATGTCTATCATCTATATGCACACAATATTTTATATAAGCAGTCTCTGTACTCCTACCTTAATTTGATTATATCAAATTATAATAATAAAATAATAGTTAATAATTATCTAAAAGAACGTAATGCATGGACATTGTGTTTCTTGTAATTTGTTATTTGATGGGTATTAGTCAGTTTTTGTAACAGTATTATGGTACCTATCTAATGCCGCTTCCTATAAACTAAATATAAAATTATTATTGTAACTGTATATATCTATATCCTAAATGATGTAATGGAAGGTGACTTCAGAAGTATCTCTTAAGTCATTTTTCAACTTGACGACTCCGTATATATCAATACAGGGAGAAAAAAGCAGCCCTTGCTGAGTTTCTTGCCGGTTCTTCTCAATACAAAGTCTCCCGCCGTAGTTTTGCGAACCGATGGCGTAGCTTCTGACCTTCACAAGTGCTTGTAACAGCCTAGACTGAATAAATGACTTTTCATTTCATATAAGATGCCTTCGTTTTTGGCGTCCTCATCGCTCATTTTAAATGGAAATATCTACTGTTAGTAATAAAAATTCTTAGTCTGATGATTAATCTATAGATTATAGTTTTTTAGAACACTCGAAATCGTCGGTAAAACCAAATTTCGTGCTTGACGTAATAATTATATCGCAGTTGTGTGTGGGATCGCATGCGTTCCAATACAAAGTTACGTTCCAATATAAAATACAAAGCAAATTTCTTAATTGCACTGGTAGTTTTCCAATGAGGGCTATCGCGTCTGAAACCGCCGCTAGAGGCGCTTGTGTTGCGTGAGGTCTCCGAAATGTCAAATGTTATAGCTTGCGGGTTGACTACGCGGTTTTTTTTCTAATTAAAATAATAGTTGTGAATATTTGATAATAAATCAGACTTATTATGGCAAATATGAGCTACGTGTCAATGATTGTCAGTTATTTAAAAGCGGAGCTAAGAAAAAATATTGTCCTTCTTTTTTCCGAACAAAACGGGACTGCGCAACACTGTGGCATGGGCGATTATGTTTAAGATACGATACTTTTGTATTAAAATGTAAACTTTGATATCACGAGCGTGTTTACTAACTTTAAAAGTTACACTGGTGAGACAAAAAACGATAGCCCTCATTACAGAGCATAATGCGAGTCAGTGGCGCACAATGAATGTTAAAAATGTGTGAAATGCATGAATTAGTTTTCAAATGCACCAGCAGAGTGCGCTAAGTTCAGTGATGAAAAAAAGTCAATATTTGTACCTTCAACCATATTTATATTTATTTTTTAACACAGTCTGAATTAACTATGATTATTAAAAAAAAAACTACACTTTCTGCTACCAAATGACCTATCTACCCAATGCTAGACCATATACGAGTAAAACACATATAATGAGTACAGGCGCAGGTGCAGAGAAGTTAGGATTTGACGTATTCTGTGCTTTTCTTTCAAACTTGTTTTATTACATTAATAGTGATTAAAAAACAATCTGCGAAAATACACAAGCATTTCTTCGCCTCATTCCAGGTACTTCTCCATCAGGAGCCCACACAGAGCCGTGGACTTACGTGGTGGTGCAGAATCCAGAGATGAAGGAGGCCATCAGGAACATTGTCGAAGAGGAAGAGGAGTTAAACTACGCCAAGCGGATGTCCAGGCAATGCCAGGATTTCAATGCATGTTGGTGGCTGCTAACAATTGTCTGTGTATCGCATGCAGATGGGTAAGGCGCTTAGCAGACGACGGGGCGGGGCGGGCCGGTCCATTTCGCCGCGAATAATAGCACAAAGTGAATCCTATACTTCAAACGCACACAGAGGGCAAAAAGACCGCGCCTTGGGTGCCCGGCGGGCAGTGGCGGCGCGGCATGTCCGCGGCTGCCCGCCGTGGATCATACAAACCAGTTTATATGCAGTAACGCAGACGGCGGCGCGGGGCAGTTAGCTCACTCCGCGCCACGCGCTTATTAGTGATGGATTATTCACTAGAACGAACGTCCTGAACTGACCGCCTCTGCCCGTCGTGTGCTTTGTGTACGCGGCGCGGGCAGCCGCAGACATCGACCGGCAGACGCGGTCTTTATTACTTCGCGGACAAAATGCCCACCCCGCCCCGTCGTCTGCTCAACGCCTAAATCATACCGCCTCACTACCCTCGTACCTTAACATCTCTTAGCTATAATGCAAATTAAATAAAACTAGTTTTAACGGGTTAATGCACGAAAATTTAATTATTTATTGACGTTTCGCAGCCTTTTCAGGTCTGCATCGTCAGAATAATGATTTTTTTATTTAATTTTGTCGAGCTACCTTCGAAAGACTTTTATTGAGCGTTATTTCATTGGAAGATTTTTAAATTTTTCATTTTTTAAACTAGTTACATTTTATGAGTAATGTGAAACATATAATGCAAATTGTTTAATGAAATTAACAGACCAAATAATATTCCCAAGAAGTTCTTGTGCATTTATTCATTGGAGCATTATTTTTGCCAAGTAGCAGGAGGGTTCAAGTATCATTTCCGATGATGGTATAACATTAATCTGCCGGTTTGCATGGTGCAAGGTTCGCCCTTATGTGTTTTCTGCCGCGCTCGAGTAAATCTCAAAATCCCCGGTTGGGCTCTCCTACTATTGTAATCAGCCTACCAATGTCCTAAATTCCTGGGGCAGAAACCTTCCTCATGTATGGAATAGGGAGAATCCAGTGTAAATTGGCTTATAAACATCGGCATCCGCAACCGGGATCAACGGCTAAATATGTGACTAACAAAATCTCGTTTCAGTTTACACTTTATTATTAACATTAGTAAAATTCAGGCATTTCTGTGGTGATAACACAAATGTGAATTAATATTTATTCAAACAGTCAAAGCAAGTTAATTAATCATATCTATTAAATTGGAGTTTGGTTCAATTAAAATATTAAGTATTAACATTATACCATAGAAAGTCACTGATGATAATGAACAATCACAGCAAAACAAATCGTCAATTTAAATAATGGAAATGAAATTGTTGACTTATAAGAAATTAATATACGTTGTATAGTGTCTACTTATTTTTTTTTTTTAATATTATTGTGTCTGTAATTTATATATTTTTTTTTGTTTGCTTTTACAAATTATTACTTAATTAAGGCTATGTGAATCAATTCAAATAGTAAAATGAACTTGTTGACTTACATGAAATTAACGTATATTGTACATATTGAAGATGAGATGTGACATGAGACATTTTATTTTATCAATGTATTAAATTTTCTATTTTGCAAATAAGTACTTTACATAGACTAAGAGATATGCTATAAGTACAAAAAAGTCCTAACATAAATTTAAATCTATATTTCAATTATTTTTTGCATGCTGGAAACGGCTAGTGATTAGGTCAGATCGCACAATTGTGCGATCTGACCTAATCATTTAAAAACATCAATGTAACCACAGTTAATGCAAATAAATTTCATTTCATTACGTAGTTTCACCCCGCTCTGAATAAAATATTGGATAGATTGAAGCCATCATTATTCTCTTTCACCATCAAACTCCATTAGTTCGATTAACAGAACTGATCACCAGAAGTAATGGGAATAAAGGTTTCATTTAGACCATGCGCACCGTTAAGCGGGGTTCAGAGCGGGCGTCCCGCTCAGCGTGTCTGTTTCATAGACCCGCCTGCGCGGCTCGGAGACCGCCTCGCGGGTGACGGGACAATGGTTGCCAACCGTACGAGAATTCTCGTACAAATACGAGATTCCTGGCTTTCCGTACGAGGTACGAGAACACTACACATATGTACGAGATTTTGTGAGACAAATTTAGAAGATGTTATTTCATTGTAGCCAACAAGTTGGTTCAAAAACCGTAAGCATCCAAACAAAAAACATATCTTTACAGTCTACGGTTAGTTCACCCGGTGGCCTATAAATTTACAATTCTTTACAAATAGTGTACGAGGTTCGAAAGCAAGATTACGGGATTTTTAGTTGCAGAAGAACGAGGATAAAAAAACTATGGTTGGCAACCTAAGACGGGGCACGTCTTGCGGGCGATGATACTCGCTCGATTGCGTGTCTTTTGAGCTCTGGTCTGCATGTTTTTTAACTAGGTAGTCTTATCAACAAAAATAATCCCTTATCGAATGTTTTGGCAATGAAATTGTACTGGCGGCGCTGCGAAAGGCACGCGCCTCTCGCAGTTCCCGCGACGGGTTCAACAGGTCCCGCGAAGGACGTCCACTCCGTGCTCCCGCTTAACGGTGCGCATGCTTAGATTAATACAAAAAGGGTAGATACGGTACGCTCATACTAGCATCAAATAAAATATGATCCGACTCAACTACATAAGTCCATGACTACATAAGCAACTCTCGCCACGCACACGTCTGTAAATAAACATCAATCGAGCGAGCGAGACACAACTATATGCTTCACCGCAGCGTATTGTTGTGCTTTTATTGCTTACAAACACCTTACAAAATGGCGATTACGTAAATAATATTCACGACAAACCGTGATTTTAGAGAAAAAAATGTTTTCACAGTTTTAAGAATAAGAAGTGTTGCCTCACTGCATCGCAGGCATTGTTATATCTTCATAACACATAATATACGCAATATTGTTATATTGATTGTACATGCAGCGTGTTTGAATGTCAAATTGTGACTAAAGCCAATTATGGTCGTGGACCACAATTTAAGCGGATCACTTTTGAGCCGCGAATGCCGTATCTTCCCTTTTTGTTTTAATCTAAGTGCGCATGCTCTTAATCTACCACTGATTGCCACAATATAACATTTTTCAATACGATATGCCTATACTATATGATATAATTCTTGTTCAGTAATAATGCTCGTTTTGTAAGCACGAGGTAAAGTTACCAACAATTTTATTGTTTACGTTTCAATACCAAGATGCATACTTTATCTCCCCGATATTCAACACATGTAAAATTAGTGGTTTATTAACCCCCATAGCATGAACACCGAAAGGTGATATGATATATAAATTTGTCTTTCAAATTGCTATAGCATATCGCGTTTTGGCTGGTGTCTAGTGTTAGCGATCGATAGTCGACTATCGATGATTTATCGATAGTCTATCGATAGCCAACCAATCGTATGACAATCGATCGGCTTATCGATAGTATCGATACTATTAATAGTATCTTCTGTGCTATAGAAAAAGCCAATACTATCGGATGAGTTAAATACTATCGATAGAATTGTAGTTCGTTAATAACAATCGATAGTTTAACAATTTGCAATAGTCTTTTTTACAATTTTCAGGTATTATAGTCAATCATTAACTTTAGTCTAAAACAATCGCTAGTATCAATACTATCGATAGTATTGTTGCAGATAAAATCAACAGTATCGGTAGTATCGATACTATCAATATTTTTTTATTAACGAACTACAATAGTATCGATAGTATCTATAGTATTGCACTCATTCGATAGTATCTATAGTATTGCACTCATTCGATAGTATTGCCTTGTTCTGAGCTATCGATAGTTTCGATACTATCAGTTGTATCGATTATATCGATAGGGTACATGATTTTCGATGTAAACTGTCGATAGTTTTAATATCGATAGTTCGGCAACACTATTGGTGTCCATAAATAAGTTGGAATAGCTAATCAAGCGCAGTACTGACAGACCTCAATTTGATATTCAGACAATGGGTGACGGACTTGAAGCCGTTCGCGACGAAACCGACAAAACCTTACCTGTCGGAGGCACCAGCTCTACTGCTGGTCTTCCGCCAGGCGTACTCCTGGAGACCAGACGGGAGGAAGCGGATGCATTATTACAGCGAAATTAGTGTCGCTATTGCTGCTGGAATCCTGCTAGCTGCTATTCAGGTGAGCGGGTTATTTTGACGTGGGAAGTCACTTTTTTATCAAACAAACAATTATGGCCCGCCTGATGGTAAGCAGCCACCATAGCCTATAGTCGCTTCATCATCATCATCAGCCTATTAATGTCCCCACTGCTGGGGCACAGGCCTTCCCTATGGATGGAATAGGGAGATTGGGCCATGACCCACCACGCGGGCCCAGTGCGGATTGGTGGGTGCTAACGACTGCAGATGCAGCCGGGACCAATGCCTTAACAGCCGCATAGCTTAGCATAGCCGCTTGCGACACAAAAATTATCACTCGCGCTCATCTCACGCCGTTGCCTACCAGGGTAGGCAATTAGGGTAGCTATTTCCCGGCAGAGACGGGATAGCAAGTTTGTGACATCCAAACTAAAGGAGGCCTACTACGACGTCCTTTCACCAAGCTGGTGATATCTTCACCAGCAGTAGTGGTTCTACCACTGAAGGGGGGGGGGGGGGGATGTTGCAGAACCTCTATAGTTTCATGCTCCATAGTGTATTTTATATTATTTTTGATATTGTTTTGCTTTTGTCTTTTCTTGTCAATATATTATACTAGCTGACCCAGCGAACTTCGTACCGCCCTAAAAAAATAGGGGTTGTCCAGCGGACAAAATTGTGAATCTAAACCATTCTCAGATCCCCTTGAACACACACAAAAAAATTCATCAAAATCGGTCCAGTCGTTTAAGAGAAGTTCAGTGACATACACACTCACAGAAGAATTATATATATAAAGATTTCTACAGTCCACAAGATTCTTTGATTCCTTTTCAGCAATTGGGTCAGGACCCAATTTACCCTGTGTGGAACCCTGGAACCGTACTCACCGTCAGAAATATAACACCACCAAAACTTTGTGTTATTGTACTGTATTCTTCTGTAAGGTAGAGTTCTCTTCCAAGGAGAGACGCTCCCATTCGCACAAAAAATCCGCTATGCCCTACCTCTCTTTGTTCACCAAAAGATTCCATTTGTTTCCCGTGGTCCACCTCGTAGTCCACCCAGGTGGACCATGGGGATTATTTATTTCCCGTGGTCCACCTGGCTGAACCAGGGGAAATAATTTTTACCCGTGGTCCAACCTGACTCTTCCTAAATTTATTACAGCTCTTGAGTGTCTTGAGTACAATAACAATTGCAAAATCAAAAAAGCGTAAATTAATTGAAAACGATGATTAAATAAAAGATATTCAGATGCAATTAATTAACAACGATATTTCTATAGGCATCGCTTTAGAAAAAACTACGCTAATTAAAGGATTTTAAAAATTACGCGATTTTTAAAAATTGTTAATGCTTTTTTGTTCATAAGAAAATCCATAATTTACTGTTAGAAACATATGGCTATGCAGGTTGACCACGGGAAAAAATAATCCCCGACAACAATCATCTCCAAAACTCGACAGAGAGATTACTTTTATTTTAAGCAAACACTTTGAAAACATACAGGTACATGCAGTGCAAGCTAACTGTAGCGCTGGCAAACTTATTTTCAGTAAGTGTTGCCGTGTTTTTAAAAATGGGGCAACATTATAATCTTAGCTAAAGTGAGTATTGAAGCACGCGTTAAGTCTCAAACCCAAGTTAATCATTCCAACCTGATGAGCGAGGATCTGAGAAATAGCACAACAATTGAAATAGCATCCCACAGTTCTATTCTGTAAGAACAGTCACTTTTCACCTCGGTATCCGCTGTTTGGTTACAAAACGAATAGCTGCAGGATATTGACTATGAAAATATAACTAGAAAAAATTCCACGCGGACCAGGCAGCAGACTTGAACCCGCACCCTTCGCAATCCGGGCGAATGCACTGACCAATTATGCTACCGCAGCCCTCACGAACCGCGTCGAAATTCTTCTAGCCATTCTTAAGCTGCAAGGCAGCGCCATCTCTTCGCATTATTTATTTTCTTTAGATTTACAAATTTGTTTCAGTATTGCGGCTTAGTGGCTCTCACATCGACCCCGCTGAACTGCAATGCGCGACTCCGGGACTTGCTCTCTAGACCCTCGAACGAAAGACTGGAGCTCCTGCTGCCAGTCGGAAGACCGCACAAGGAAGCCACGGTCCCCGACATCAGCAGAAAGAGCTTGGAGGAGATCATGATCAAAGTGTAACTTTGATCGGACTAAAGCCAGAAACATATTAACGTGTCGTGGCGTGACGTGGCGCATCGGTTTCATACATTTATCATGGGTTAGAGAGAGAGGTTAGAGCGTCGACACGACACGACACGTGAATATGTCTCTAACCATAGTAAATGTATGAAACCGATGTGCTTCTGTCGCGCCACGACACACGTTAATATGTTTCTGGCTTAAATATAACGTTAACTTTATGAAAACTGTAAGGCTGAATTTGAGCAATAAAACCTTTTTATACTCATACCTTATTGTGATTCCATGGATTCCTTACTGTCGTTTGATTTGGCAGACAGAGCAACATGGACGTGTATTATGGCGTCGCCGTGTTCTAGTGATGGTTCTATAAATTAGAAAGTATGAGAAAAAAATGGGTGCGTGTACTTATGTAGGCGCGTGAGAAGTTATCCTTCTTTGGCATCGTTTAAAATTAGTTTTTAATTGCATGCAAATAATTAATTACAATAAATTAATAAAAAGTCTGGAAAAGGACACAGTCAATAAAGTTCAGTTTTAATTTGAAAAAATAAATAAATAATCAAAATATTCAATTTAAATCGCTACTGAATATAATTTATTAGAACATATGTGATTTGCACTTGTATGAAACTCAAACACGTATTCCGAATATACAAACTAGAAACATGTGGATAAATATTATAAATATGAATACCTATAACTGTTACTTTATTACAATAATAACATAAATGTAACATTGAAAAATAAAGATGTGGTTTTTGGTTCTACTACATCAATGGTCAAGAGATGGCGCTGTAGTCTCCTGAATCGCGCTTTGGTTCCGTTGTTCCAGATTAATAAATACTTTTTGTTACTTTATTACAAAAAATAAAGATGTGGTTTTTGGTTCTACTACACCAATGGTCAAGAGATGGCGCTGTAGTCTCCTGAATCGCGCTTTGGTTCCGTTGTTCCAGATTAATAAATACTTTTGATAGGCCTCTTCACAATTCAGTCGTTAGCACCCACTAAATAGAGATTCTATTTCTATTTTGTTGGTAGATTTTCTTAATGTGCGGTAAACACAAAAGTATTATGTTAAAATTTTGTGTTACAGTGATTGATACGCGCGCATCTTAAAATTTCACTCTCATAATTTTTTCATAACGCGCCTAAAGAAGTATAACTTCTAAAGGTAAGTTCTGCCCACCGAGCAGATAGGAAATTGAATTCCTGTGAGCGTCAGAATGGCACTACCCATATTTTACATCGAAATAATTATAGAAAGTTGCTACCTAGTTACATCTGGTTGCTACTAATCGTTAAATAGTTGCTATCCCCGATTAAAACAAAATAAACTACTTTTTAGGGTGACCAGCCATTCTGACGTCAGAATGGCTGGTTACCTATCCAGTGAGAACAAACTGCGTAACTAAATAGAGATGTTTTAAAGCAATAGTTGCTACTAGGTTGCTACTATTAGAACAAGTAAGATTTAATATTGTAATTTGTTCAACTAATCCAACAAAATAGGGGTGATGACGGGGTACAGTAAACGAAATTCTATTAAGCCCGTCAGTTAGATGATAAAAAAATAATGGACACTTATTTTTTCTTTGGGCAATCAACCAAAAAATGACAAAGTTATAGCGCGTCAAAGTTTGGGAGTAGGGTTTCGTGACGTCACTTTTTAGTGAATTTTCACTTAAGTGTACTAAAAAGTGACGTCATGCGACTTTTCAAATCAATATAATCTCCGCAATGTTTATATTAGGTATGTGAAAAAAGAAAAAAACCGTGTCCATTACTTTTTGATAATCTACCTGATAAACGAAGAAAAAAAAAATGGTTGCCTGTAAAGTCGGTTTTACGGGCGAAGATTTTACGTGACAACGTCTTTTTCTCGGTAGAATATTTATTGATATGAATATAATTAAATTGCACAATAGGAACAAGGAATTGAATGAAAATAAGAATTGCACAAATTTTAACTATAGAAATATATTTTGTTTACTAAAACATTGTACATGTAAACTTAAACTTAACACGAGAGACTCATCGTAACGTTACCGAGCGTTACACTTTTTCATAAGTGACTCCCAGCCGCAACCTAATTTAAGACGTTGTCACGTCAAAAAATAGTCATCATCCCTATTATCAAAAATTTTACTTTTCCTAAATAAATACTGTATTGATATACTTCCGGAATCGTAGTTCATCACAGCGTTTAAAGTTTTGACCTTTAAGGATTTGACGGTCTCTGCCTAAAAACAAAATATGTTACACTGAGCAAAAAGTTTCATGCAGTTTTTTATTTACCATCTTTTTCGCGTGTGTTTATAAATATGTTATTATTCTAAGAAAAGTTTACTAGAAAAAAAATCTTTAGATTTAAACATCTAGCAGTTAAATGCTTAAAAATAAATAAAAACATAACTATAATTGCTATTTCTTCATTCAAATGTTTAATACTTGAAAAAGTATTCATTTGACATTGTGGGCTACCTACAATGCAAAGAGATGGCGCTGCCTTGCAGCTTAAGGCTAGGAAAATTTCGACGCGGCGAATAGGGCCGTGGTAGCATAATGGTCAGTGCATTCGCCCGGATTGCGAAGGGTGCGGGATCGAGTCCCGTCCGCTGCCTGGTCCGCGTGGATTTTTTTCTAGTAAACTTTTCTTTAGATTTAAACATCTAGCAGTTAAATGCTTAAAAAAAATAAAAACAAGTATGTTATTATTGTTCAACCTAACTTAATTTTATTTTTGCTTCGGACTGTTGAAACATATGGGCCGATATGTGCCCGGAAGTGTAGGTTCGTTTAGTGATAAGAATAAAGCTAACGTGATAACCTCTTGGTTATTAAATAAGTGGAAAGCAGTCGGATCTAATAAATGGCATCTAATATTGTGAAAGGCTGATAATGATAATAATTTATTGGTCTTGAATAAAAGCGCGTTGTTTGAAACATATTTAAATTTGACTATAGTTAATGTCACGTCAAATACATAGTTAATGTGTCATATTTTGGGAAATGGTATTTTTTTAGGGTTCTGTAGTCCTGACAAGGAACCCTAAAAGTTTCGTCATGTCTGTTCGTCTGCATCCCCGGTTTTGCTTGAAGACTTACCACTAGAGCTGTAATTTTTCTGGAGATATGTCTATAATCATTGAGTTATAAGTGGTTTAATACAAATTAGGTTCCTTATACACATAATTGTTTATTAATTAAATTCTTTTCTAATTTTTATATTTAACTGTACTGTATATTGCGATACAATGACAGGGTTCATGTTAGGTACTATAAGCATTTTGTAACCATCGATGTAACCACATGAGTGCAATAAACTGAACTGAATTGAATCATGTCGATAAAATAATAGAATAAAATGTTGAAAAATATTTTTTTAAGGCAAGCTCCCTTACATGTAACCTGGAGATGATTTTATTTTTCATCGTCTACACCATCGTGTGGGGTATCATTGAATAGGTCCTTTAAAACTGCTTAGGGGTTCCTAAAACTATTTTCTATTTAGGGATCCGTTTGCGAAATATCGAACTTTAAAGTGCCCTTTCTGATCGTGTAGTGCGTCCCCCTCTAAAAGCTAAACTATACACTTGAAAAACCTGGAAAAATTGATAAACTTGTGATTTTCATGAACTTTTAATAGAAATTACAACGCTTAAAATAGGTGTTAGTTTCAGAGTAATATAATAAAAAAAAAGAGTAATATCTCTTATCTATTAGACGAGTCCGTCTGTCCGTGGTGCTGTTTCAGCGGCCAAACCGTAAGAGATAGATAAAGAGAATATTTAAGTTATAAGTTAATAGTCTGATAAGACTACAAACCGGATTTGAGTAACGTAGCACTTCCGGTTTTCGAGAAATCACGAATTTCAAACGAAACCACACAAAATCTCCGAAGTTCTCAATTAACTAAATACATTTTTTTTTTAAATCAGGTTTTGGTGAACATTTGGTTCACTGGTTTGCTAGTAGTAAATAATAGTCATTCGAAAATTTCCGACCTAAGAAAAATTCCTTAGAGGAAAACTTAAGTGACTTTGATGAAGTAATTGCTTAAAATATAGACTTTCCAAAATATATTGTGGGGACGATAATCAGTTACGAAACCCTACACTGCGCGTGGCACGACACGCACTTGGCCGGTTTTTTACTAGTATTTTAAATCAGACTAAGATATGTTTCAAACAATGCGGGCTGTAACGACAAAACAAAACTAGAAACAGAAAATAAAATTCGAAATGTATATTCCAAAAAATAAAACAACACCAAAACATCACAAAAAATTTCGAATCTGTATAACATCGGCGCATCGCCGGACCCGAGGTCTAACGGCACCGGCGGCGCCTGCGACGGCAACTGCGGCGGCGGCGGCGACAACTGCGGCGCCGGCGGCGCCGGCTACAGCTGCGGCGACGCCGGCGCGGTCTACGCCGACAACTGCGCCGGCGTCGACGGCGGCAGCTACGGCGACGGCGGCGACGACGCTGAAATAAGAAGTTGTAAAGTAAAAACCAAGTTAATCAAGTTAATGTTCAGATCGTTTGCACGATCAAATCAGAAATGGGCGGTTGAAAACAGCTAGCACGGGACCGATCGAGCGAAACAAAAATTTTTTGGACGAATCCACGAGCGGCTGCCTTTTATTATGGACACCGAAGCATTTATTACATAAATATTAAACCGACCACCTATATGGATGTCTAAGCATCCACAACACAAGTATATAAAAATGTAATAAAAAGACTATGGGAAGAAATCAAAGAGCTTTTTCCAGATCAGGACAGTAACTTTTTGTTACATAATACCTAATTACTAATAATTAGGTATAAGTATAGTATAGTATTCGGCATAAAATACGAACTGTTTTCAAGGAAACTACGCATCACTTTAGTTAGAGCCATCCTCAATACGTCCACTTAGTCAGCCGCTGTAGCCGCTACTGAATGTACATGGCATGCCACCCTCGCCCGCGCTTAAGCCTAGTTCGCAGTAAGCTAGTATTTTAGTCGAGTGGCGAGTAATTTAGTACCTAAACGTGTCTGGACAGTGAAAAATTTAGTCGAGCAGTTTAGCAAGTAATTTAGTCGAGTCGATCCATTTTGTTCTATTTTGAACGGGCGAGTAGCACCTCCCACTACGCGTGTACTGTGCTCACTGGCTCACCGACTAAATAAGTCAGAACCTGTAGGATTAGTAGAGTTCATTGGTGGCCGCAAAATGTCGTTTCGCTGGAGCGAAGAAACTACATCCAGTATGCAAGAAAAGAAAGCAAGAAAGTATAGAACTTAGCAGGAACGAACTAGCAGGAATAGCACTTCTTAAAATAGTATCTTTAGGCTGAATTTGAGTTTGTATTTTCATTAACAGAAAATTCACACAACTTTCGGTCATTCTCAAACTATCAAAGTATTCTTTGGGATCTTCCAATGCTAATTCCTTCAGAAGACAATTAGTACCTCCTAGTTTATCTCTTCTATCAATCCATTTGCGTACCCATAGCTTCTTTTTATTAATCACACAAACTTCCTCATCCACCTCTTCTAAAATAGCCGTTACGATTAGCATAATCAGTTTATTTAATTTATTGTGTTGTAGGCTGTTCATTATGCAAAACACCACTCACTTATAAACTGTACTCGAGCAAAGTGCGAACGATTTTTGGACAGAAGCGAGTATTTTAGCTACTCAATTACTCGCTACTGGACTAAAATACTAGCATAATGCGAACTTGCCTTTAGCCTAGCCCATCTACGTAAAGGTGATACTCACGCTGCATGAGCGGCGGCGTCTGCGGCGGCGACCGCAGCGGTCCGACGGCTCTGCGGACCGGGATCGCGAGAACGAGCGGGTGCGGCCCATGCCGTTCTTGTCACCACCGCGTCTGGAAACAAAAATATAGATACTAATCTAATCATCATCATTTTCATCAGCCTATTTCCCTAGCCTGTGCCCTAGCAGTGGCAAGGGCGGATCCAAAGGGGGGGTCCCGGGGGTCATGACCACCCCCTGGGCTGGGTCCATCTGTACCCACTTCACAATTTGTACTTCACAATCTGTACCCACTGCGACTTGACCACGACTATATGATACCCCCTGGCGCCAAAGCTGGATCCGCCCTTGAGCAGTGGGGAGATTAATAGGTTGATGATGATGTAGATATTAATTTCATGAACTCAAAAGATGTGCCAGTGTGGAATGGTTGGTGCTAAAGACTGTGCGAACAATGCAGTTTGTGGGACCACCATAACTTGACGAACCAACTGGAGCAAGAAAGAGCTTTTATATAAAGCTCTTTAATTTTTGGTCATCCATCTTATGGCAGGCCATTGGCCATAGCATAAAACTTTTGATCCGCGATCACAGACTGAACAGCTGCGACATTCGTCATCACCAGCTTTTTAATGTCCCCACTGTTGGGGCACAGGCCTTCCCTATGGATGGAATAGGGAGATTGGGCCATGACCCGCCACGCGGGCCCAATGCGGATTGGCGGGTGCTAACGACTGCAGATGCAGCCGGGACCAACGGCTTAACGTGCCTTCCGAAGCACGGAGGAACTCGAGATAGAAGTTTTTGGTCACCCATCCAATGACCGACCACTGCGAAAGTTGCTTAACTTCAACCATCGCAGCCGAACGCGCTAACCACCTGCGCCATCGAGCTCCTCCTAACGGGTGATCATTTTGTACTCAGTAAGCCAGTACATCGGAGGGCTGGTCTAAATCTCCGACGCCTCATGTGTCTCTAAACACTGTCTTTCTGTATGTGTTCATAAAACCACCAAAAAAAATGTATTGAAAAAAATCTAATCTAATGCTGAATTGCAATTTAAAAATTTAAGCAGTCATACTTTTTCCTTTAGTTTAGAAAATATAATAATGCCGTGCCTTAATTGTGAAATCGTGAAGCTCGGTGTCGCAGGTGGTTAGCACGTTTGGTCTGCGATCGTTAGCAACTTTTGCATAGTCGGTCATTGGAAGAGTGACCAAAAATATATCATCTTCGAACTTCTCAGTGCTTCGGAGGGCACTTTAAGCCATTGGTCCCTGCTGTATTTGCAGTTGTTGACAGCTAGTAATCCGCACAGGGCTCGATCCAATCCATCGGTCATTCCCGATCAAGATTGGATTGGGCAGATCGGAAATAGGAAGTTCATCAATAAAGAAGGCCTGTGACCCAGCAGTGGAGACATTCATAGGCTGATGATGATGATGAATCAAGAAATCTGCGCTGAACTTTGCATGCCAACAACGCTTAAAACTGCTATATTCGTCAGATAAATGCACCAAGGTAATTGTCTTTGTAGTAAAACGATAAGTTACGTTTAAACATGGAAATGAATAATTGTCTATGGCAACCCACCCTCCTTTTGGGAATCAGTAATGATCTCATGTGTAATAGGGATGATGATTTTTTTTTTTCTTTGTTTATCAGGTAGATTATCGAAAAGTATTGGACACGTATTTTTTCTTTTTTCACATTATATAAATATTGCAGAGATATATTGATTTGAAAAGTCGCATGACGTTACGTTTGAGTACACTTACGTGAAAATTCACTAAAAAGTGACGTCACGAGCCCCTACTCCCAAACTTTGACGCGCTATAACTTTGTCATTTTTTGGTTGATTGCCCAAAGAAAAAATATGTGGCCATTATTTTTGATCATCTAACTGACGGACTAAATAGAATTTCGTTTACTGTACCCCGTCATCACCCCTATTGCCTATGGCAACCCACCCTTTTGGGAATCAGTAATGATCTCATGTTTTATTACAGCTATCACGCTAAATAAAAATGTCTTACCTTCTGCTCATACGATCATCTTCTGCGCCAGGGTGTTCTCTGAAAACAGAAAGTGTTTCAGAAACTACACCAGGTTGTAATAACAAGCGGATATACGGACTAACAGACCACACTCTGCGCTAATACCAACATTTAAAATGTTAATTTCTAAAATGTCAACACTGATACTGACCCCACCAATCCACAGTTGGATCTGCGCGCAGCGTTTAGTCTGCTGGCCCTTTAAACAAAAAAAATACAGTTGCCTCATTTGGAAAGATCTACGCCTAAAATGATGTCAAGTAAATTATTATTTTTAATTTAAGGTTTATCATATTCCTCTTGGGGTTGGCAAAAAAAACATCGAAGAGTATGAAGACCATTCAATTCACAGACAAGTTCAATTCACAAATTAGTGATGCCGGCACTTTGCTTGGCTATTCATGTTTACTATTTGTAATCTTAACAGTCTCTTTTTCATTCGTTTCAAAATTTGTTTCTTAAAACAGTGATGTTCATACACTTAATACAGGAAACAAAAATAAACTAACTTTACCTGCTACTAGGCTTCACAAAATCAATAATTCATTTAAAGGTCTTTGTGTTCGCTTATACAAAAGTCCCAAGCAATATCTAAGAGTTAACCATAAATAAATTCAAAGATAGTATAAAAAAAAACTTATTAAAAAAGCTTATTACAAAGTGTCTGATTATATTACAGACAAAAATGCTTGGGTTTGAACTGTTCCAATCTTAACAGTCTCTTTTTCCTTCTTTATAGAGTGTGGGTGACCAAAATTTACTATCTCGAGCTCCTCCGTGCTTCGGAAGGCACGTTAAGCCGTTGGTCTCGGCTGCATCTGCAGTCGTTAGCACCCACCAATCCACACTGGGCCCGCGTGGTGGGTCATGGCCCAATCTCCCTATTCCATCCATTAGAGTGTGTTAGAGCTAGCGTAGTGTGAGCCACTGGTGGCTACTAAACGCGTCCACAAGCTGCTTCTCTGTCATTATCGGTGGCGATAGGTGACTACGTCTAATGGCTTCCTTGACTGCGCCACTATGGCTCAATGTGCGCTTGCTCTTAAGGCTAGTTCACATTATGCTACTATTTTAGTCCAGTAGCGAGTAATTTAGTAGCTAAAATACTCGCTTCTGTCAAAAAATCGAATCGAAAATCTATTTTAAAAGAGGTGGATGAGAAAATTTGTGTGATTAATTAAAAGAAGCTATGGGTACGCAAATGGATTGATAGAAGAGATAAACTAGGAGCTACTAATTGTCTTCTTGTTTTTATAATGCGGGGACTTAATATTCCACAAACATTCGTGTTCCGCATATTTAGAAACAAAGGAGATTGCTCAAATTGGCCTAAATGCACAAAAAATATTGACATACATGGTAATTCTTGGCGTAATTTATAATTTAATTTACAGTCATTAGATTTCAACGGACACCTTTGTATAATATATTTGCTTTAAAAAGGACTTTGAATTTTACCGGTTTGGAAAACATACGAATCATTTTTAATGGCTATGGGTGTAGTAACATTCAGCCAAAGACTGATCGAAGTTGTTTATATAACATAAAAACAAATCTATTTTGTAAAGATCAATAAAATAAATCACGTTTTTTATTACACTGTGGTATTAATATCCACAACTATATTATCATTTTCACTAGATGCAAATGTGCTCAGACAATTATTATAGATGGTAGGCGACATCATAAAGTCTATTGCCATACATTTTTCGCCAAACACCTCCATAAACACATTATAATCTGTATATATGTTAGACTTTAAGGTCTATCTATGGGCCTACGTTCCCTGACTATAGATTAATAAATAAATAACATTATAAGGTGTGATACACTAAAAATCTAAAATATGGTTATCTTAAAAACATAACAAAAATAATGAAGCTACTGAATATATGGGCTACAGAACCTAAATCTCTTAGCTTTCTTTGGTTAACGAGAGTTTAAAAATTCTCTCTAATCTGTGGCTCATTCACAATCATCACACAGTTTTTGTCACAGAGTACCATATTTTAACCGGAAATGACACCTGATTTTAAAAGTTACTCTTATGCATTAACTTTAAAAACAGGCAACTATATGTTAATCTACATGCTCTATATACCTGAATCTAATCCATAATTTCGGTACTTGGCTTGATTTCCCTAGTTTACTATATAACTTATTTGTTTTATATTATTTTAATATGTTCAGTGTATATGGTTTATAGAAGTTCTCAGGGGTGTCCGTCAATAATATTCGTTTCTACAGTAATTTATACATAATTTCGAATCTAGGAAACAATTTTTCATGATTATTGGTCTTTAGGCCAAACATGTATGGAAGCTGAGCAATCTCCTTTTAAAGTTGTTTCTTCACTCCAGCGAAACGACATGTTGCGGCCACTAATGAACTCTACTAATCCTACAGGTTCGGACTTGTTTAGTCGGTGAACCAGTGAGCACAGACGCGTGGTGGGCGGTGCTACTCGCCCGTACTAAATTACTCGCCTCTCGACTAAAATAGTAGCCTAATGCGAACTAGGCTTTAGGGACGGTCAATTTGACAAATAGCAAACGAATAGCCAAGTGCAATGCCGACATCAGTGGATCGAAACACTTACGAGTTTTCAGCATTCTTGTCTTTCTGCTCAATCTCGCCTTTCTTCTTGTTTGCGGAGATTTTCCTTTCGTGGCCGTGCTCAGAGCGTCTCTTGGCTGCGGCCGCACGGTTACGCCTGTCAATATAATTGATACAAATTAAAATGATGAAATACGTCTAGTACAGAAGCGGAGAGATGTGAAGGGACTTTTTAAGTGCCATCTTACAGAAGGCAGTGAAATAAAACAAGTTTTTGGGGGTGTTGTATTGGTCCATGGGGTAGGTTCTAAGGGTCCATCCCTGATGGGGATGAGGTTAGTTTAAGCACGTATGATACCAACTTTAGCATCGTTATAGTCTAGAGCTTGGTGACCTTACCGTCTTGCAAACAAAATAATGTTAACAACCCTCTTTTTTATATATTTATATAATATTGTGACAGACTTGGTATTGATAAGTTATATGAAGTGAATAAATAGATATGGAAATAAACTTAATCGACATTTATAATAATTTAAATGGAGACATCTAATATTATTGTGTAATTGTACGCCTTATGGCAGGACATAGCTGTACTGTATGTACTGATGTAACACCCCATTATTGTACCTATGCTCCACAATAAATGAATTATTATTATTATCTTTTAAGTAAAGTTTAAAATGCATGAAGTTGATAGCTGTTACAAGATATTTTTTACATCATGATAGACCAATTGATAATAAAATTTTCATAACGCCTTCAAATAAATGGTAGCAATGATTTGACGCAATGATGCTCAACACAATTGTAAGGTTAATTTGAAAATGCTAATTAATACTTCAGATAATTGAGAGACATTGCATTTCTCTGCTTTCAAGTTATCAGCAATGCCATGGAATCAAAATGAAAGACGATAACACAGCCTACTTACAATTAATTCAACATAGAATCATTTTTTGTCCTCCATACCTATTCAGTAGTTGCTACGAGTAAGGCGAGGTAGAGCGAAGCTTTCTTTTTGTCTCAAATAAAATGTATTAACAGCTACAATTCACTCATCCTTACTCAGCTCTACTCCGATCATCTCCATTCCTCAGTTCAACTAAGCCAGCTATACAGCCTAGCTCTGTACCACTCATCTTCGTACATCTCCAATGGGAGATATATTTATACAGTTCAGCTCATCTGAACTCTGCACGGCTCCACTTATGGAAAAGCACCCTCAAGGCCACTAACCACTTACTTTCAAGCGAAACCAAGGGCCCGCTTTCGCTTCGCTTCGGTGTAGAGATGAAGTGTAGACTACAGTTTTTGTTCTCAGGCTTGTAATATACACAATGACATTCATCTACGATTCTTCTTATACCTGCATGCAAAGTCTCAGCCCGATCGGTTTATAATTGACAAAGTTTCATACAAACTTTCATTCCCTATTTTATCCCCCTTGGATTATCTTGATCTTGATCAATTCTACCCGAATTGATCAAAATCCTTTCTTAGCGGATGCCTACGTCATAACATCTACCTGCAGCCCGATCCGTCCAGTGGTTTGGGCTGTGCGTTGATAGATCACTATGTCAGTCAGTCACCTTTGAGTTTTATATATAGTGTTCGGTCATTGGATGAGTGAACAAAAATTTACTATCTCGACCTGCTCCGTGCTTCGGAAAGCACGTCAAGCCCTTGGGCCCGGCTGTCGGCAATCGTTAGCACCCACCATTTCGCGCTGCGCCCACGTGGTGTGCCATGACCTAACCTTCCTATTCCATTAATAGGTAAGGCCTAGTGTTGCCGATCGATAGTCGACTATCGAGGATTAATCGATAGTAGATGTCGATTTATTTGCAACTATACTATCGATAGTTTAACAATTTGCAATAGTATTGTTTACAATTTTCAGGTATTATAGTCAATCACAATCAACTATTAGAATTAGCACAGCTCGATAGAAATGTTTATAAAAATATATATATCGGCCTCTAATAGTCCTCAACTACAATACTGTTAAAACATACCTAATACTATTGCAAATTGGTAGACTATCGATAGTCTAAAACAATCGCTAGTATCATTAGTCTAAAACAATCGCTAGTATCGATACTATCGATAGTATTGTTGCAGATAAAATCAACGGTATCGATAGTATCGATACTGTCAATAGTTTGTTATTAACGAACTACAATAGTATCGATAGTATCGATACTATTGCACTCATTCGATAGTATTGCCTTGTTCTGTGCTATCGATAGTTTCGATACTATGGATTGTATCGATTCTATCGATAGGCCTATCGATAGGGTACATGATTTTCGATGTAAACTGTCAATAGTTTTCATATCGATAGTTCGGCAACACTAGTAAGGCCTGTACCCCAGCAGTGGGGACATTAATAGGCTGATGATGGTGATCACTTACTTCCTCTGCACGTCGACGTAGGCGTGCAGTCGAGCGGCGTACCGCGGCGTCTCCGTCTCGCTGCGTTTGCGCAGGAACACCACCATGTCGTCGTTCAGCTTCTTCCTCTCCTGCTCCTCGTTTTCCATCGCGCCGCGCACCGCTCACTCAGCCTCGCATTAAATCTGTGCCATTCAAAAAAAAAATTCAAAATTCAATATCGTTTATTCAGTCTAGGCTGTTACAAGCACTTGTGAATGTCGATAAGCTACGCCATCGGTTCGCAAGTCTACGGCGGGAGACCTTTTACTGAGAAGAACCGGCAAGAAACTCAGCGAGGGCCGTTTTTTCTCCCTGTATTATATACAGTCGTCAAATTGAAAAATGACTCTTTCCATTACAAATGCCCAGATTTACCATTTTATTTACATTGACCTCTATTTCATAACTTATATTTTAGGTCTAAAATCAAGCTAAATGCTTTAGAAATGGAAGAGTTAGCCAGCCTATCTGCTACTTAGACATGTGATGGAAATCCTGTCAATGTCAAGGCTCAAATTCACTAGCGGCCCGCCCTCGCTTTGTTTCGGTGTAGAGCTGTAGTGTAGACTATAGTTTTTGTTCAAAGGCTTTGACAAACTTTCATTCCCTATTTTATCCCCTTGGGGGTAGAATTGATCAAAATCCTTTCTTAGTGAATGCCTACGTCATAACATCTACCTACATGCCAAATTTCAGCCCGATCTGTCCAGTGGTTTGGGCTGTGCGTTGATAGATCACTATGTCAGTCAGTCAGTCACCTTTGAGTTTTATATATATAGAAATATAAATCAAGTACATTTGCTGGAAGGTGATAACATACAAGGGCTTTTGTCAAAGCAAATGTACACTTCCGGACACACTTATCGGCCCACTTAATGATATAAGTTAAAACGATCTGGAGCAAAAATATAATTTTTTACCACGTACGACAAAACTGTGGAATATGTTGTCGCCAGTAGCGTTTCCGGGCCAATACAACCGAAGAACCTTCAAAAAAAGAGCGTACTCCTTCCTTAAAGGCCGGCATCGCATTTGTGATACTCCTGGTGTTGCAAGTGTCCATGGGCGACGGTGATCACTTACCATCAGGTGAGCCGTCTGCTCGTATGCCCCCTATAACATAAAAAAAAGTTAGGTTGACCAATAATAAAATATATTTTAAAACACTATAAAGATGGTTAATTTCTCAGCTTCAAAACTGCGTAAAAACTTTTTGCTTAATGTATGTAACATTAATTTTTAGCTAGAGATCGTCAAAACAATATATGCCAAAACTTGAAATGTGACCGGGAGTATAGTTACAAACAAATTGATGCAATCAAGCAAATAACCTTATAAAAACCAAATAAAAACCTGTCCATTTGATTTAATAATTTATAAAGAAGTAAAGACATTTGGTCCTAATATAACTAAGAAAAGAATCTATATATATAAAACTCAAAGGTGACTGACTGACATAGTGGTCTATCAACGCACAGCCCAAACCACTGGACGGATCGGGCTGAAATTTGGCATGCAGGTAGATGTTATGACGTAGGCATCCGCTAAGAAAGGATTTTGATCAATTCTACCCCTAAGGGGATAAAATAGGGAATGAAAGTTTGTATGAACCTTGTCAATTTTAAACCGATCGGGCTGAGACTTTGCATGCAGGTATAAGAAGAATCATAGATGAATGTCATTGTGTATAATACAAGCCTGAGAACAAAAAGTGTAGTCTACACTTCAGCTCTACACCGAAGCGAAGCGGGGGCGGGCCGCTAGTAACGAATAAGATCTAAAACATTACTAACAGAACTCAATACTTAAGTACCTACATACATCACACACAACAACTGTGCTAAAACGAAACATTATTAGAGCCAAAAAACTTAGTCAATAAATATAAAACATTCTAACCATTTAGCCGACCGCCAGTACTGTGGATTTTAACAAACAAATATGAAAAAAAAAACTTCACAAAATCACACCCAACATGTTTACGATTCACCAAATGCTCTGATGAAAAACGTTCATCTGTTTTGGATCGCTGTCAATTTTTTTCAAACTTTCATTCGATAGTTGTGTAAGTGCCAGATTCTTCTTGTGAGAACCTCTTTGAAGCAGCGATTTTTCCGAAAAGGAGGTGGGTGAGGCCTAAATCCTATAGGCGGGTTTTTATCGGTCAATGATATAGGATGCGTTTTTATTGCAATAATAATAATTGCAGTAATGCAATAATAACGTATCCTATATCATTCATCAGTGATATTTGCACACTAGCACTATCCGAATTAACTATAGTTTTTTGACAATCCCTCAGGATCCTAAAATTTTTTGGGGCGAAAAGTTGTTCTAACCCTCATCCAGGTAATAAACTATGAGTGAGCCTTTCATCCACATCCGTTCAGCCGCGTAGTACATTCAAACATTCAAATTATTTTCCACGCAACTTTTCCCTCTATCCAAAACCGTATGATAGGCTTGTTGAAAATATATCGATGTATCGATATATCGATATTTTTTGTTCGATGTATCGATATTTTTTGCCGATATATTTTGATTCGATATATCGATACATCGATACAAAATAACCAATATCGAAATTCGTATCAAAAACGATATTTTTTTAATTATTAGCGGCATATCACGATCTAACTAAATTCGTATCTGGAAAAATCGTAACTGGATCTCAGATTAATGATATTCAACATATCTATGATCTGTGCTGTATTAAGTATTGTCTATGTCATCATTCGAAAATAAGGTCTATTTGTAGGGGGATAATTTTCGTTCCATTATTATTCCGCGTGTCATATTTCGTGATCTAAAGTACGATATTTTTGGGAAAATTGGTCCGATATATCGATATATCGATGTTTTTTTCGCGATATATCGAAGCCGATATTGATATATTTTTAAATATCGATGTATCGATATATCGATTTTTTTTTTCAACTTTCGACATCCCTACCGTAAGAAAAAAAAACCAAATTGCCGTTCTCGACTTTTGCACGTACATTATTTTAGTTATACAGAAAGGTACCTAACTAATATATATTTATATCTCTACTAGCCGTGCCCCGCGGTTTCACCCGCGTTTACAATCATCAACAAATATATTTCGAAAAAGATTATTACAGGATTTTATGTTGTTAAAAAACTCTATGGCCCATAACTCATTAATAGGTACCAACTCTTAACATCTTACACACGTGATAACTTCTAAACGAAATATCGGATTGAGATGAAACAAAAAGTATTTTACTTCTACGTAAATACTCTTGATAACATAATGCTTAATTTCGATAAAGATTAATATTACGATACATATTTAACGTAGTTTTTTTTTCTTCAAACGATTTAATAATTATTTTGAACACAAAATCGGTTATTGTGATTAAACCATGATAGCTAGATATATGTTCTCGCTGACTTTTTTGTAGGTCTTAAAGGGATGTAGTACATCATTTTGTTCTATTGTCAATAGTTTTTGCAGCACACGCAAAAATAGGTTTTCGATTTTACACCTTGTGTTACAAAAAAGCAATTCTATTACGGATCCCTAACTTAGAAAAAAAATATATAGCCTATAGCCTTCCTCGATAAATAGACTACCCAACACTGAAAGAATCATTCAAATCGGACCAGTAGTTCCAGAGATTAGCGCGTTCAAACAAACAAACAAACTCTGCAGCTTTATAATATTAGTATAGTTTTTCAAATGATAAACAATGTACGTCAACAAATAAATAAATCAGTGCATTGATACTGTTCAAACTCGTTTTTTGAAGTTATACTTCTTTAGGCGCGTTATGAAAAAATGATGAGAGTGAAATTTTAAGATGCGCGCGCATCACTGTAACACAAAATTTTAACAGCATGAAGTTGGTCGCTTTAGCGACCATCTTCATGCTGTTACTTTTGTGTTTACCGCACATTAAGAAAATCTACCAACAAAATAGAAATAGAATCTCTATTTAGTGGGTGCTAACGACTGCATTGTGAAGGCCTATCAAAAGTATTTATTAATCTGGAACAACGGAACCGAAGCGCGATTCAGGAGACTACAGCGCCATCTCTTGACCATTGGTGTAGTAGAACCAAAAACCCCATCTTTATTTTTTGTAATAACTTCTCACGCGCCTACATAAGTACACGCACCCATGTTATTTTTATGAGTAGTGGCGTGAAAACCTAAGAAACAAATATGTTATACTAGTAATTAATTCAGCATTTCTGAAATACGGGGAAATTGTTCAATTGTTTTGTTACCCCAGTTTTGTTACCCGAGATGATGTTAACCTTAATTTATTCAATCTTTCTCACAGAGTCGCACCTTTAATCCTACAAGGACATAACGGCGTCAATATATTTGCGCGTCTATCCTCTTCGCATTAGGTAACGACAATAAGTATCGTATTGTTACTGCTGAATTAAGTCATCTTTACTAACCAAATATCAAATTATTCAAAAAAAAAACTATTATGTTATCCCATACACTGCAATAAATTCACTACTAAGAATAGGAAAAGCGCAATGTAAGATCTTCTAACCATTTAAAACCAAAACTTCCATAAATCAGAGCCATTGAAAAATTCCAAAAGTCAACTCGTACAACTTGCAGACAAGCCGGAACATAACTTATTTACTCCTTTTTTCAACAAAATGGGTTAATGGGTACCTACCCAGATCCGAAGACGTGTCTTAGAATTAACAATTGAATTTCTGCAGTTATTTTATCTCTTAAACTGTTAAGAATAGAATCCAAAGTTACTTGTACCGATTGTCAAACGGGAAAGTTAAAAATACGCATTCGGAAATATTCGGATGTCTTCGCCAGTGCGCCGCCGCCCGCCCGCCTCAACATGCGCTCGAGCATACTTGGGCGGTCAAATCTCATATAAAATGTGTTTTTTTTTTATTATATTTTATTTGTTAATCAATAAACATTAAAAATCGTGCAACAAAGTTTAGTGGTAGTGAATCCAAATATTTCTCAGGAACATAAGCTTTAAAATTTAATGTTAAAAGGAAAGTTCCGATTTGTGTAAATGACTGTAGAAGTATTTGTGTGAGAGTTTAAACATATTAGAGCTGATCTGTGCTAGTTGTTTTCACACTTTAACTGTTCTGCAATTGTTTTCATTCAATTAACTATTTGGAAATCATTGATATTTATTGTGAAGAACGAAGTTTACTCTATTTAAGATAAGGAAAGAATGCATTCCGGTAGAAGTAGTCTCATCGTTGACCCGCCAGGAACCGATGCACGTGCGTTTATTTTCATTTATAAATAGTTCAGACACAGAACGGCGCTTTCGACAGAATGACGTCAGTAAAGGAAAGTCGTGACGTCACCGGTGTCGCTAACGAGGAAGAGGGAAAGAAACAGAACGAGTCTCCGAAAGAGTTGGCAGATCTACCCCCGAGTGGAACGTCTTTGCATAAGAGAAGGCGTGGCGAAGCGCCGGCATCTCTCTCCGTAAAACCTCCCCAAACTCCTTCAGATGCAGAAGGATCTTCGCCCTGTACAGCAGGTTTCACACCAGATCATGCGCGCCTCTTCCAAGATGGTGAACTACCGGATGCAGAAACCTTATGCGAGAGCATGTTGCAACGGTTAAAAGACAGCGATGACCCCATCTCCAATCGTGGCAAAGAACTGGCGCTCAGAACAAAAGATACAGTAGAAGCTTTGGATCAGTTGGAAAAACTTTTGGAACTCTTAGACCAATTTGTAACACTGAAAGAACACAATTCGCGAATTTTAAGGAGACTGAGGGACGTGAACCATTTGAAAAGCCTACACAGCGCCCACAGAAAGATAAATGCGGAGAATGAAAGACTTAAAGCTGAGTATGAAGATGTAGAGGCTCTGAACGAATTGTTAGATGCTGAGTTGGAAACTGAATATGGACAAGCGATATTTGATTCGATGATAGGGACTGGTAGGAGTATGAAAAGGACTGGGTCAAAGTGGAAAGGTCACTCGAAGTTCGGAGGCACGTTGCTGAGGAAGCAAAGGTCAAGGTCAGCGGGTGGAGATGATAGTGATGCGTCTCCTGGGACACCTTTGAGGAGGAGATCCGAGGGTATATTTTGCAAGGAGGTGGAGAAATCAAAGGTGTCAAAGTGGACTAGAGTGAAAGCGGCATTTAGGTAAGCTTAATTTCTGCTGCCGATATAAATTTGTAGTTTAAAAAGCAAAGCGTAAGTTTAAAAGTGTATCATCATCAGCCTATTAATGTCCCCACTGCTGGGGCACAGGCTTCCCTATGGATGGAATAGGGAGATTGGGCCATGACCCACCACGCGGGCCCAGTGCGGGTTGGTGGGTGCTAACGACTGCAGATGCAGCCGGGACCAACGGCTTAACGTGCCTTCCGAAGCACGGAGGAGCTCGAGATAGTAAATTATGGTCACCCATCCAATGACCGACCACTGCGAAAGTTGCTTAAATTCAACGATCGCTGCGGAACGCGCTAACCACTTGCGCCATCGAGCTCCTCTAAAAGTGTATAATGTGAAGAAAAGTTAAAACAGTAATTGCTTTTTCTGTGTTGTGTGGTCGACTTAAACAAATTTCATATATTTCTTAAGGTTTTTTCAATAGATTGAAAGTCCTTACGGGAAAATACAAAATAATTGAATGAAAGTAAAGTTAACGGTGATAAAGTTGCGGGCGGAGACTAGTTTTAATCTTAACTACTCACCACAAAATTTATCAAATGATAATTATTGAATTTACTAAATTAAATTAAGTTTTTGTAGGTTATGTACAAAAAAACGTGAATAAAATTTTAATGGTATTCATATTTAATTAATATTGAATATTTATTTATTTATTTTTCGAGACATTTGTAAGCTTTTGCTGCCTTCCATCGTATACAATTTTTGAGCATTTTCATAGATGTTTGTTGTATTAAGTATTTTAGTGTCTTAACTTTTTCAAATACAAGTCCCAGAATAAAGAATATTGGATCGTATAAGGTAATCATATTAGTACCCTTAGCATGAACCAATATCGAATTCGAATAGTTTGCGTGTGCGAAATGTTAGTGACAAATGTGTATTGATTTTTAGTTCTCGTTACGTACATTGTGGCGCTGCTGTTCAAGTTTCCATAGAAAATTTTACATGGAAATTTTGCACACGCAAACTATTCGAATTCGATATTGGTTCGTGCTAGGGGTACTGGTATGGTGTGTCACATATCGTTACACAAACTGCGACTTTACTCTAGCTCATTTCTTTAGTTCCGCCAGCCGTAACTCATCCATATTGATTTTGGGTTGGTATATCATGTCCAAAATACCTGCCTAAGTTTATATAAAGAAATGAGAAAAAGTATTTATACACACCGTACAGAAAAACATACACCGTGAATTATGAATTCATATAATGATTTGGGTTATATTTCCCCAAAAAAAAATCTTATCATATTTTTTTTGCCAAATTTTTTCCATCACTAATTATGCAAATTTTAAGTGATATATATTGATTCAAATAAATCTACTTTAAGTATTTAAGTACTTAAAGCGGATATATTGTTTTAAACTTTCATGGTCACTAACATTATAGTAATATAAGTTATTTACGGGATTGTTACCATGTACCTTGTTTTTAGCGAGTTTCCGATATTTCGGCACTGTTGCAAGCGCCATGATCACGGAGTAACTGAAGTAATTGCGGGTAGGCTGTTATTGGCAGACATATCGGTCTACCCTCCGACGAAGTCTTTTATTGCGACCCGTACCACTGTTCACATTCTCACTATTCACTCGAAACTGTTCTCGACACACAACACTTACAGTATCGGATCGCGACACGACACTTTTTTGATTATTTCCGGTTTTACACATACGAACCACAGGATTCCAGACACTCGACAATTTAAACCCGTCCTCACGATTGAAATTTTTATGTTTTGTTATTTCAATCGCTTCCCTGACCAATCTTGGTATGTAGTGGCGTTCTGTCGAGATAATCTGTGGGTTATGAAACTCAATCCAGTGGTTAGAACCAGAATCAATCAAATGTTCCGCGATGGCTGATTTCTGCGTATCGTTGTTCTTGATTGCTTTTATGTGTTCCCTCATTCGGCATGATACTGTTCGCTTTGTTTGGCCAATGTACGAACTGCCACAGCTGCAATCGATCTTATAGACACCAGGTTTCTCCAAGGGGAAGTTGTCTTTAGGAGACCGTAGGTATTGTGAAACCTTTCGCACAGGAGTCTTCACTCCGACGATTGCAGCTGTGGCAGTTCGTACATTGGCCAAACAAAGCGAACAGTATCATGCCGAATGAGGGAACACATAAAAGCAATCAAGAACAACGATACGCAGAAATCAGCCATCGCGGAACATTTGATTGATTCTGGTTCTAACCACTGGATTGAGTTTCATAACCCACAGATTATCTCGACAGAACGCCACTACATACCAAGATTGGTCAGGGAAGCGATTGAAATAACAAAACATAAAAATTTCAATCGTGAGGACGGGTTTAAATTGTCGAGTGTCTGGAATCCTGTGGTTCGTATGTGTAAAACCGGAAATAATCAAAAAAGTGTCGTGTCGCGATCCGATACTGTAAGTGTTGTGTGTCGAGAACAGTTTCGAGTGAATAGTGAGAATGTGAACAGTGGTACGGGTCGCAATAAAAGACTTCGTCGGAGGGTAGACCGATATGTCTGCCAATAACAGCCTACCCGCAATTACTTCAGTTACTCCGTGATCATGGCGCTTGCAACAGTGCCGAAATATCGGAAACTCGCTAAAAACAAGGTACATGGTAACAATCCCGTAAATAACTTATATTACTATAATTAAAGCGGATATTTGTAAATTTGGACCATTTCAATTTATTATGTAAATGATATAAATCATTATTTTTGTGTGAACCCCAGTCATCTGACTTTCTGTCCATATGTCACGGATCTCTAGATTGTATTTGAGTAACAGAACTGAAATTTTAGTATTTTATATAGAAAACTTGCCCAAAGCTGAATATTTGGTCAAAAAGCCAATTTAATACGGGTACCATACAAGAAGACTTTTTTTTTGTTTTTTTTTTATTTTACCCCAGCATGTGATACATCGATGCATCACTATCTACAGCTCGTATGTAGGATATAAATATAAGTTTTATTATTATTTATTTTCACAAATAAATGCGGGGGGAGTCAAAGTTGTCATTTTTTCGACGACCTCCGTGGCCGAGTGGTTTGTACGCCGGGTTACATGGTGACGCCGACTCGATAGGTCCCGGGTTCGAATCCCGGTGGGGGCAGATGCTTGTGTGATGAATATGTGCATTTGTACTCCAGTCATGGATGTTTAATATGTATTTCTATATAAATTTACTTATATATGTACAGTATATGTATTCTATCCGTTACCCTAGTATCCCATAACACAAGCCTTATATGCTTAGTTTGGGGCTAGGCTAATTGGTGTGTGTGTTGTAAATATTTATTTATTTATTTTTTGAATCTACAATAACTTAAAATCGATTTCGGTATTTTATGTCCCATAAGCTGTATTTAAACGTCAAACCCTGTTAATGCCAACTATTAAAGTTATACCTACAGAAAGTGCGAAATGATTAAAAAGAGTATTTTTTTCCGAAGTACAGTCAACTTACTGTGTAAACAAGTAAGAAATACGATGCTAACGATTCTATCATAAAGTTGTAATTTTATTATTTTATATCATCATCATCATCAGCCTATTAATGTCCCCACTGCAGGGGCACAGGCCTTCCCTATGGATGGAATTGGGAGATTGGGCCCTGACCCACCACACGGGCCCAATGCGGATTGGTGGATGCTAACGACCACAGATGCAGCCGGGAGCAACGGTTTAACGTGCCTTCCAAGGCAGGGAGTAGCTTGAGATAGTACATTTTTGGTCACCCATTCAATGACCGACCACTGCGATAGCTGCTTAGCTTCAACTTAGCTTAACATTAAAATTATATATCATTACTTTAGTTTTTGTACATAGCAGAGTACATACCTTTCAATTTAATCCCCATGTATGTTCTACGATTTTGCATAGTTTTCGAGTTAGACTTTATTTTCGTTATTTTTTAAGTTCAACGATATGACAACTTTAAAAACGTATAACTTCTTTTTTTTTACATACATACCGCCATAAAAAATAGGGGTTGGTGGTAGAAGGGTGAAATTTAGAGTTGTATGTATTTTTGTATGATGTATCATAAAAAAAAGAAACCAAAAATTTTTGTCCAAAAAAAAGAAATTTAAGGGTGGGATCACCCTTAACATTCAGAGGGATGAAAAATAGATGTTGTCCGATTCTCAGACCTACTGAATTTGCGTAGTTTTCGAGTTAGATTTTTATTTCAGTTTCAATTTCGTGCATTAACCCGTTAAAACTAGTTTTATTATAATGAGTGATGTGCGTGAAAACCTAAGAAACAAATAAATATTAAAAGTACTCGATTTCCGAAACAACACCTTCAACAACAGATTTCAGCAAATAATGCCCCATTTAGTACATCTTTTTATATATTTTAATGAAAACTTATATAGTCGGGCAGTTTTTAAAATTATTCAAAAGTAATAGAACATCATTTTTTTATGATTTTATTTATTTTTCAGCATTTAACTGCTAGATGTTTAAATCTAAAGAAAAGTTTACTAGAAAAAAATCCACGCGGACCAGGCAGCGGACGGGACTCGAACCCGCATCCTTCGCTATCCGGGCGAATGCACTGACCGTGAACGACTACAGATACAGCCGGGGCTAATGAAACTCGAGAAAATAAGTTTTTGGACACCCATCCAGGCGAAAGTTTCTTAATGTTCACAATCGCAGATCTCATTGTGATCCTAATCTTATTATTGATGACACATTTAAATAAGCAAAATAGAACTTTTAATTTACAAGCATCTTCTTTAGTACATAACTAATAAAAAAAAATGGGTGCGTGTACTTATGTAGACGCGTGAGAAGTTATCCTTCTTTGGCATCGTTTAAAATTAGTTTTTAATTGCATGCAAATAATTAATTACAATAAATTAATAAAAAGTCTAGAAAAGGACACAGTCAATAAAGTTCAGCTTTAATTTGAAAAAATAAATAAATAATCAAAATATTCAATTAAAATCGCTACTGAATATAATTTAT